CATACAGTTATTAAGAAAGAAATGATTTCAAGAATGATACCAAATGTTGCAGGACTTAACTAACTAAACACAGGTTTCATGTTACCAGAATCATAAGTCAATACATACCTTTTGAGACTCATCAATGATTTTCTCCATACTACCAACAACAGGATAAGGTGATAATGGCTGCTTCAGGGCTGTTTTGATGTAATCTAAGAATGTGGTTATAATGTTTTTCAGGTTACCTGTTGCCTGGTAGAAAACAGTAATGTCATCTGAAGGAACAAGTCCAGCCTGAAAACATAATGTGTTACAACTGTTATGTAGTAGCCTGTTCTTGTATACAAATACAAATGCAGCTTACAATTTAATATCGACAAAATCTCCTAGCTTTGGAAGATTCTAACAGAGCTTCTAGCACTTTAATAAAATGCTCCGCAGGGCGCAGCTTGATACGACCGCAGAGGTCGAACCCTGAACAGTTGGGGCAAGTATGGACACAACATTCAAGCTTGATACAGCTCTGAATTTGGATTGTGATTAAATATTTGACACAGCATAGGTCTCTGACACAGAATGAATGTGGTCTAAGAACTTAAAAATTTTAAATTGGACATTCACCTATTATGGTCCAATATCCAAAATCTAAATACATGGTTAGATTCAGCATATCAAAGAACCCCAAGAATTCAATTTTTGATGAAATCAAACAAAGTTTAATTTTGATCTTTTTGACCTCAATGTGGACAAAGTTGATAATGGGGCCCAAAAATCAAAAATCTAAATACATGGTTAGATTCAGCATATCAAAGAACCCTAAGAATTCAATTTTTGTTAAAATCAAACTAAGTTTAATTTTGGACCCTTTGGACCTTAATGTAGACCAATTTAAAAACGGAACCAAAAATTAAGAATCTAAATACACGGATAGATTCGGCATATCAAAGAACCCCAATAATTCAATTTTTGATGAAATCAAACAAAGTTTAATTTTGGACCCTTTGGACCTCAATGTGGACCAATTTAAAAACGGGGCCCAAAATCCAAAAACTTAATACACGGTTAGAATCAGCATATTAAAGAACCCCAAGAATTCAAGAATAAAACCCCATTGAAATTGGTCAAGAAATAAGCAATTTATACGAAGTATCTTCTTTTGCACAATACTGTGCAATTGAATATTTCTTGCTATTGCGCAATACTGTACAATTGACAATTTCTTGCTATTGCGCAATATTGTGCTATTGGATATTTCTTGCTATTGCACAATACTGTGCAATTGAAGATTTCTTGCTATTGCGCAATACTGTGCAATTGAAGATTTCTTGCTATTGTGCAATACTGTGCAATTGAAAATTTCTTGCTATTGCACAATACTTATTATATAATAATTTACACATCCTGTTTGGTGTGTATCTCCTACCATATCATTATTATTTGCTTTTAAATATAAACAGAAATAACCAACTTAAAATGGAAAATTTTAAAAGAAAAAAAAAAGGAAACCCCCCCCCCCCTCCCCCCAAATTTTTTGAACCCCCTTATGATTCATCACCCCCAAACTCAATCCCAGCCTTCCCTTTGTGGTATGGTACCTTGCAGTACAATTTCAGAGAGATCCATACACTTGAACACAAGTTATTGTCTGGAAACTAGAAACATGCTTATTTTTGGCCCCTTATTCCTAAACGTTTTGGGCAATTACCCCCAAACTCAATTCCAGCTTTCCCTTTGTGATATGGAACCTTGTAGTACAATTTCAGAAAGATCCATACACTTACACACAAGTTATTATCATGAAACTAGAAAAATGCTTGTTTTTTGCCCCTTTTTTTGCCCCTAATTCCTAATATTTTGAGGCAATTACCCCCAAAATCAATCCCAGCATTCCCTGTGTGAAATGGAACCTTGTGGTACAATTTCAGAGAGATCCATACACTTGAACACAAGTTATTGTCTGGAAACTAGAAAATGCTTATTTTTGGCCCCTTTTTGGCCCCTTATTCCTAAACGTTTTGGGCAATTACCCCCAAACTCAATTCCAGCTTTCCCTTTGTGATATGGAACCTTGTAGTACAATTTCAGAAAGATCCATACACTTACACACAAGTTATTGTCATGAAACTAGAAAAATGCTTGTTTTTTGCCCCTTTTTTTGCCCCCAATTCCAAATATTTTGAGGCAATTACCCCCAAAATCAATCCCAGCATTCCCTGTGTGATATGGAACCTTGTGGTACATAAAATTTGTTTGCGGTCGTATAAAAATCAAACAAAGCTTAAAGCACTAGAAAAATCAACAAAAGCTTATAGCATTGGAAAAGAAGAAATGTGTGTAGTCTCTTGTGGAGAGTTGTCTCATTGGCAATCATACCACATCTTCTTATTTTTATATATTAACAGGAAAAGGCTCTGTTGATAATTTTTTTGTTTTTCTTGCAACTTGTATCCCCTGATAAGATTTCTATTTGTTTCCTTACTTTTGTCGTCAACAAGAGAAGCCAGTTTTATTATATTTTTATTATATTGGTAAAATAGATTATACAATAAACTCAGTCACAAGGTCAGCCAGTTGAATATCTTGAAACTAAAACATTGTTAAACACCATTTATTCACCTTTTACAGTAGTTCATACCTTCTTTCTAAGTTTCTGGACACGGTTAATAACTTCCCTAGCAATTCCTTCATCCAACATACTTTGGTCAGGTGATACATCCATTAATACTAACACCTGTTAAACAAAAGACATCAAATAAAGGCACAGGCATATAAATTTTCTACACACCAACATCCTATCAACCACCAAAACATTAAAGGTTGATGGGTTTTATTCAAAAAGTAATATTATGGAGCAATACATAATTTGAGGTATCATAAATCTTAAATAAATGGAGAATGTGTCTGTGTCCAGAGGACACAGATGATGACCCTGCTTGCATATGTTATAAAGGGACATAACTCAAGAAGGGTAAAAGTGACGCCACCCAAATTCAAACCTGAACTGACTTCTGTGGTAATAAGCATTGTGTATAAGTTTCATAACATTTGGTTGAGGCAAACTTAACTTGAAGAACAGAAACGAAAAATTCAGCAATTTTTCAATGTAAAGGGGCATAACTCTGGAACCGTAAAAGTGACGCCACCCAAATTTAAAACTTATCTGTGTTTTGTGGTAATAAGTATTGTGTTTAAGTTTCATAACATTTGGTTGAGGCAAACTAAAATTAGAGAACGGAAACCAATTTTGGGACGTACATACAGACAGATGTACAGACGGCCAAGGGTAATACTAAATTCCCCCTCCGCTGCGTTGGGGGCATAAAAATCAAACCATCCAAATTGTAGTATTGTATGATTATTTATTCATCATGGAAAAGGTCCGAAAAAAATAAAAGGTGTTGCTTAAAAATTTCAGCTGATTTACATTTACATAAATTATTGTGTATACTGGAATACTGAAACCTAAAAATAGCACTTATTCCTGAAAAATTGGTGGAATAAAAAGGCATACCTAATCTGAACCTGTAAGCATCATGTTTGAAAATCTGTCAAAATGTAAAAGAAATAAATCCCCAAACCCATTAAAAATTCAGAAGTTCTTTTAATTTTATATACTTAATTATTATTCCGGAATGTAGGCTTAAAAGAAATTGAAGTTTTATTAAACTTTTTTAAATTGTTGATTTACAAAATGTACAATAGCAGTTATATGATCATTTAAAGGAAATGGTAGCAATGAATCAATGGCTTCTTCAAGTCTGCCTAATTCCTCTTCTTCAATCCATATAAAGAAGATGACATGTGTGTTTATACCTACCTTTTTATCAGAATGAGCTTCATACTGGTCAGGTGTAATATCTTTGGTAGAATCAAACTTGTATGCTATTTTTAGATCCTCCGCCTCCAATGTATATCCTTCTACAACCATGGTTCCTGTCTGCTGGAATTCCTCCAATTGTTCACTGGATAGTTTTTTGACAGCAGTAACAACTTTTTTAACATCTCCTTTCAGCCTGGCTCCCAAAACTTTGAAATCAACATCAGCTTCCATATGTGCACCATATTTAGATTTATCTGTAGTTGTTGTAACTTTCCTCACATTCAGTTCCTAAAACAAATCTAATGCTGTGTACATAATACTTTATGTCATCCCTATGCCAGCAAGATATGTAATAATAAAATGCTTCGCTGGGGCGCAGCTTGATACAACCGCAGAGGTCGAACCCTGAACAGTTGGGGCAAGTATGGACACAACATTCAAGCTTGATACAGCTCTGAATTTGGATTGTTATTAAATATTTGACACAGCATAGGTTTCTGACACAGAAAGAATGTGGTCTAAGAACTTGAATTTTTTTAATTTACCTATTATGGTCCAATGTCCAAAATCAAAATACATGGTTAGATTCAGCATATCAAAGAACCCCATATATTCAATTTTTGTTAAAATCAAACAAAGTTTAATTTTGGACCCCAACTTGGACAAACTTGAAAACTGGGCCCATAATGAAAAATCTAAACATATGTTTAGATTCAGCATATCAAAGAACCCCAAGAATTCAATTTTTGCTAAAATCAAACTAAGTTTAATTTTGGACCCTTTGGACCTTAATGTAGACCAATTTAAAAAACAGGACTTAAAATTAAAAATCTAAATACACGGTTAGATTTGGAATATCAAAGAACCCCAATAATTCAATTTTTGATGAAATCAAACAAAGTTTAATTTTGGACCCTTTTGACCTCAATATGAACCAATTTGATAGCGGGGCCCACAAATAAAAAATCTAAATTCATGGTTAGATTCAGCATATCAAAGAACCCCATATATTCAATTTTTGTTGAAATCAAAAAAAGTTTAATTTTGGACCCCAACTTGGACCAACTTGAAAACTGGGCCCATAATCAAAAATCTAAACACATGTTTAGATTCAGCATATCAAAGAACCCCAAGAATTCAATTTTTGTTAAAATCAAACTAAGTTTAATTTTGGACCCTTTGGACCTCAATGAAGACCAATTTAAACAACGGGACCCAAATTAAACATCTAAAAACACGGTAAGATTTGGCATATCAAAGAACCCCAATAATTCAATATTTGATGAAATCAAACAAAGTTTAATTTTGGACCCTTTTGACCTCAATATGAACCAATTTGATAGCGGGGCCCACAAATAAAAAATCTAAATACATGGTTAGATTCAGCATATCAAAGAACCTCATATATTCAATTTTTGTTGAAATCAAACAAAGTTTAATTTTGGACCCCAATTTGGACCAACTTGAAAACTGGGCCCATAATCAAAAATCTAAATACATGTTTAGATTCAGCATATCAAAGAACCCCCATATATTCAATTTTTGTTGAAATCAAACAAAGTTTAAATACTGGACCCTATCTTGGACCAACTTGAAAACTGGGCCCATAATCAAAAATCTAAACACATGTTTAGATTCAGCATATCAAAGAACCCCAAGAATTCAATTTTTGTTAAAATCAAACTAAGTTTAATTTTGGACCCTTTGGACCTTAATGTAGACCAATTTAAAAAACAGGACCCAAAATTAAAAATCTAAATACACGGTTAGATTTGGAATATCAAAGAGCCCCAATAATTCAATTTTAGATGAAATCAAACAAAGTTTAATTTTGGACCCTTTTGACCTCAATATGAACCAATTTGATAACGGGGTCCACAAATAAAAAATCTAAATACATGGTTAGATTCAGCATATCAAAGAACCCCATATATTCAATTTTTGTTGAAATCAAACAAAGATTAATTTTGGACCCCAATTTAGACCAACTTGAAAACTGGGCCAAAAATCAAAAATCTAAATACATGTTTAGATTCAGCATATCAAAGAACCCCATATATTCAATTTTTGTTGAAATCAAACAAAGTTTAAATACTGGACCCTATCTTGGACCAACTTGAAAACTGGGCCCATAATCAAAAATCTAAACACATGTTTAGATTCAGCATATCAAAGAACCCCAAGAATTCAATTTTTGTTAAAATCAAACTAAGTTTAATTTTGGACCCTTTGGACCTTAATGTAGACCAATTTAAAAAACAGGACCCAAAATTAAAAATCTAAATACACAGTTAGATTTGGAATATCAAAGAGCCCCAATAATTCAATTTTTGATGAAATCAAACAAAGTTTAATTTTGGACCCTTTTGACCTCAATATGAACCAATTTGATAACGGGGTCCACAAATAAAAAATCTAAATACATGGTTAGATTCAGCATATCAAAGAACCCCATATATTCAATTTTTGTTGAAATCAAACAAAGTTTAATTTTGGACCCCAATTTGGACCAACTTGAAAACTGGGCCAAAAATCAAAAATCTAAATACATGTTTAGATTCAGCATATCAAAGAACCCCATATATTCAATTTTTGTTGAAATCAAACAAAGTTTAAATACTGGACCCTATCTTGGACCAACTTGAAAACTGGGCCCATAATCAAAAATCTAAACACATGTTTAGATTCAGCATATCAAAGAACCCCAAGAATTCAATTTTTGTTAAAATCAAACTAAGTTTAATTTTGGACCCTTTGGACCTTAATGTAGACCAATTTAAATAAAATGCTTCGCTGGGGCGCAGCTTGATACGACCGCAGAGGTCGAACCCTGAACAGTTGGGGCAAGTATGGACACAACATTCAAGCTTGATACAGCTCTGAATTTGGATTGTTATTAAATATTTGACACAGCATAGGTTTCTGACACAGAAAGAATGTGGTCTAAGAACTTGAATTTTTTTAATTTACCTATTATGGTCCAATGTCCAAAATCAAAATACATGGTTAGATTCAGCATATCAAAGAACCCCATATATTCAATTTTTGTTAAAATCAAACAAAGTTTAATTTTGGACCCCAACTTGGACAAACTTGAAAACTGGGCCCATAATCAAAAATCTAAACACATGTTTAGATTCAGCATATCAAAGAACCCCAAGAATTCAATTTTTGCTAAAATCAAACTAAGTTTAATTTGGGACCCTTTGGACCTTTATGTAGACCAATTTAAAAAACGGGACTTAAAATTAAAAATCTAAATACACGGTTAGATTTGGAATATCAAAGAACCCCAATAATTCAATTTTTGATGAAATCAAACAAAGTTTAATTTTGGACCCTTTTGACCTCAATATGAACCAATTTGATAGCGGGGCCCACAAATAAAAAATCTAAATTCATGGTTAGATTCAGCATATCAAAGAACCCCATATATTCAATTTTTGTTGAAATCAAAAAAAGTTTAATTTTGGACCCCAACTTGGACCAACTTGAAAACTGGGCCCATAATCAAAAATCTAAACACATGTTTAGATTCAGCATATCAAAGAACCCCAAGAATTCAATTTTTGTTAAAATCAAACTAAGTTTAATTTTGGACCCTTTGGACCTCAATGAAGACCAATTTAAAAAACGGGACCCAAATTAAAAATACGGTTAGATTTGGCATATCAAAGAACCCCAATAATTCAATTTTCGATGAAATCAAACAAAGTTTAATTTTGGACCCTTTTGACCTCAATATGAACCAATTTGATAGCGGGGCCTACAAATAAAAAATCTAAATACATGGTTAGATTCAGCATATCAAAGAACCTCATATATTCAATTTTTGTTGAAATCAAACAAAGTTTAATTTTGGACCCCAATTTGGACCAACTTGAAAACTGGGCCCATAATCAAAAATCTAAATACATGTTTAGATTCAGCATATCAAAGAACCCCATATATTCAATTTTTGTTGAAATCAAACAAAGTTTAAATACTGGACCCTATCTTGGACCAACTTGAAAACTGGGCCCATAATCAAAAATCTAAACACATGTTTAGATTCAGCAAATCAAAGAACCCCAAGAATTCAATTTTTGTCAAAATCAAACTAAGTTTAATTTTGGACCCTTTGGACCTCAATGTAGACCAATTTAAAAAACAGGACCCAAAATTAAAAACCTAAATACACGGTTAGATTTGGAATATCAAAGAACCCCAATAATTCAATTTTAGATGAAATCAAACAAAGTTTAATTTTGGACCCTTTTGACCTCAATATGAACCAATTAGATAACGGGGTCCACAAATAAAAAATCTAAATACATGGTTAGATTCAGCATATCAAAGAACCCCATATATTCAATTTTTGTTGAAATCAAACAAAGTTTAATTTTGGACCCCAATTTGGACCAACTTGAAAACTGGGCCAAAAATCAAAAATCTAAATACATGTTTAGATTCAGCATATCAAAGAACCTCATATATTCAATTTTTGCTAAAATCAAACAAAGTTTAATTTTGGACCCTTTGGACATTAATGTAGACCAATTTGAAAACTGGACCCAAAATTAAAAATTTAAATACACTGTTAGATTCAGCATAACAAATAAATAAATGTGATCAAAGATTTTACAAATCTAATGCGCCATACTGTGCAATTAAAGATTACTTCTTGAAATTTTTCAATATTTGAAATTTGAAAAAAAAATAATATTTGAAGAATAATTCTTTTTAATTTCTGAAATCTGAAATGAGAAAAAATTGGCCCCCCACAATTTCTTTTTATCCCCCCCCCCCCTTTTTCCCCCAAAAAAATTCTTTCCCTCCAGATATGGTCATAATCTCAATTCAGATTTCCAATGGAGTTGGCAACCATAATTACCCATTTAAATTTACCATAGTGCTAACTTAATCTATTTTATAATAGAATTAATAAAAATATAGTGTCAAATCTTTCATATGGATTTTTTTGTAAAAAAAAAAGATGAAAACATTTGCAGATATTTTTACTGGTCTTCCTTTATAAATATGCATTTCTTTAAACATAATTTAAAAGCAGTGTAAGGGAAGTAACCAAAACGTTGTATTTGGATTACCTCCCTTACACTGTTTTAGATTATCTTTATTGTTCATTAACCATTACTTTATACATAATTTAAAAGCAGTGTAAGGGAGATAATTTCAATGATGTATTTGATTTATCTCCCTTACACTGCTTTAAATTATGTTTTGTACTAAAGTATTTGTCCATTAACCAGGACAACCTTGTTTTTCCCCCTTTTTTGCCCCTAATTCCTAAACGGTTTGAGCCATAACCCCCCAAAGCAAATCCTAACCATCCCTTTGTGGTATGGAAACTTGTAGTATAATTTCAGAGAGATCCATACACCGTTCCACAGTTATTGTCTGGAAACTAGAAAATGCTCATTTTTGGCCCCTTTTTGGCCCCTAAATCCTTAACTGTTGGTACCATAACCCCCAAAATCAATCCCAACCTTCCTTTTGTGGTATTTAACCTTATGGTCAAATTTCAAAAAGATCCATTCACTTAAACTAAAGTTAGAGTGCGAAAACCAATATGTATTCGGACGACGACGACGCCAGACGAAGACGACGACGACGCCGCCAACGTCATACCAATATACGACCACAAAATTTTTTTGCAGTCGTATAAAAACAGGACCCAAAATTAAAAATCTAAATACACGGTTAGATTTGGAATATCAAAGAGCCCCAATAATTCAATTTTAGATGAAATCAAACAAAGTTTAATTTTGGACCCTTTTGACCTCAATATGAACCAATTTGATAACGGGGTCCACAAATAAAAAATCTAAATACATGGTTAGATTCAGCATATCAAAGAACCCCATATATTCAATTTTTGTTGAAATCAAACAAAGTTTAATTTTGGACCCCAATTTGGACCAACTTGAAAACTGGGCCAAAAATCAAAAATCTAAATACATGTTTAGATTCAGCATATCAAAGAACCTCATATATTCAATTTTTGCTAAAATCAAACAAAGTTTAATTTTGGACCCTTTGGACCTTAATGTAGACTATTTTGAAAACTGGACCCAAAATTAAAAATCTAAATACACTGTTAGATTCGGCATAACAAATAAATAAATGTGATCAAAGATTTTACAAATCTAATGCGCCATACTGTGCAATTAAAGATTACTTCTTGAAATTTTTCAATATTTGAAATTTGAAAAAAAAAAAATATTTGAAGAATAATTCTTTTTAATTTCTGAAATCTGAAATGAGAAAAAATTGACCCCCCACAATTTCTTTTTATCCCCCCCCTTTTTTCCCCCAAAAAATTCTTTCCCTCAAGATATGGTCATAATCTCAATTTTTGTTAAAATCAAACTAAGTTTAATTTTGGACCAACTTGAAAACTGGGCCAAAAATCAAAAATCTAAATACATGTTTAGATTCAGCATATCAAAGAACCCCATATATTCAATTTTTGTTGAAATCAAACAAAGTTTAAATACTGGACCCTATCTTGGACCAACTTGAAAACTGGGCCCATAATCAAAAATCTAAACACATGTTTAGAACCCCAAGAATTCAATTTTTGTTAAAATCAAACTAAGTTTAATTTTGGACCCTTTGGACCTTAATGTAGACCAATTTAAAAAACAGGACCCAAAATTAAAAATCTAAATACACGGTTAGATTTGGAATATCAAAGAGCCCCAATAATTCAATTTTAGATGAAATCAAACAAAGTTTAATTTTGGACCCTTTTGACCTCAATATGAACCAATTTGATAACAGGGTCCACAAATAAAAAATCTAAATACATGGTTAGATTCAGCATATCAAAGAACCCCATATATTCAATTTTTGTTGAAATCAAACAAAGTTTAATTTTGGACCCCAATTTGGACCAACTTGAAAACTGGGCCAAAAATCAAAAATCTAAATACATGTTTAGATTCAGCATATCAAAGAACCTCATATATTCAATTTTTGCTAAAATCAAACAAAGTTTAATTTTGGACCCTTTGGACCTTAATGTAGACTATTTTGAAAACTGGACCCAAAATTAAAAATCTAAATACACTGTTAGATTCGGCATAACAAATAAATAAATGTGATCAAAGATTTTACAAATCTAATGCGCCATACTGTGCAATTAAAGATTACTTCTTGAAATTTTTCAATATTTGAAATTTGAAAAAAAAAAAATATTTGAAGAATAATTCTTTTTAATTTCTGAAATCTGAAATGAGAAAAAATTGACCCCCCACAATTTCTTTTTATCCCCCCCCTTTTTTCCCCCAAAAAATTCTTTCCCTCAAGATATGGTCATAATCTCAATTTTTGTTAAAATCAAACTAAGTTTAATTTTGGACCAACTTGAAAACTGGGCCAAAAATCAAAAATCTAAATACATGTTTAGATTCAGCATATCAAAGAACCCCATATATTCAATTTTTGTTGAAATCAAACAAAGTTTAAATACTGGACCCTATCTTGGACCAACTTGAAAACTGGGCCCATAATCAAAAATCTAAACACATGTTTAGAACCCCAAGAATTCAATTTTTGTTAAAATCAAACTAAGTTTAATTTTGGACCCTTTGGACCTTAATGTAGACCAATTTAAAAAACAGGACCCAAAATTAAAAATCTAAATACACGGTTAGATTTGGAATATCAAAGAGCCCCAATAATTCAATTTTAGATGAAATCAAACAAAGTTTAATTTTGGACCCTTTTGACCTCAATATGAACCAATTTGATAACAGGGTCCACAAATAAAAAATCTAAATACATGGTTAGATTCAGCATATCAAAGAACCCCATATATTCAATTTTTGTTGAAATCAAACAAAGTTTAATTTTGGACCCCAATTTGGACCAACTTGAAAACTGGGCCAAAAATCAAAAATCTAAATACATGTTTAGATTCAGCATATCAAAGAACCTCATATATTCAATTTTTGCTAAAATCAAACAAAGTTTAATTTTGGACCCTTTGGACCTTAATGTAGACTATTTTGAAAACTGGACCCAAAATTAAAAATCTAAATACACTGTTAGATTCGGCATAACAAATAAATAAATGTGATCAAAGATTTTACAAATCTAATGCGCCATACTGTGCAATTAAAGATTACTTCTTGAAATTTTTCAATATTTGAAATTTGAAAAAAAAAAAATATTTGAAGAATAATTCTTTTTAATTTCTGAAATCTGAAATGAGAAAAAATTGACCCCCCACAATTTCTTTTTATCCCCCCCCCCCTTTTTTCCCCCAAAAAATTCTTTCCCTCAAGATATGGTCATAATCTCAATTTTTGTTAAAATCAAACTAAGTTTAATTTTGGACCCTTTGGACCTTAATGTAGACCAATTTAAACAACGGGACCCAAAATTAAAAATCTAAATACACGGTTAAATTTGGAATATCAAAGAGCCCCAATAATTCAATTTTAGATGAAATCAAACAAAGTTTAATTTTGGACCCTTTTGACCTCAATATGAACCAATTTGATAACGGGGTCCACAAATAAAAAATCTAAATACATGGTTAGATTCAGCATATCAAAGAACCCCATATATTCAATTTTTGTTGAAATCAAACAAAGATTAATTTTGGACCCCAATTTGGACCAACTTGAAAACTGGGCCAAAAATCAAAAATCTAAATACATGTTTAGATTCAGCATATCAAAGAACCCCATATATTCAATTTTTGTTGAAATCAAACAAAGTTTAAATACTGGACCCTATCTTGGACCAACTTGAAAACTGGGCCCATAATCAAAAATCTAAACACATGTTTAGATTCAGCATATCAAAGAACCCCAAGAATTCAATTTTTGTTAAAATCAAACTAAGTTTAATTTTGGACCCTTTGGACCTTAATGTAGACCAATTTAAAAAACAGGACCCAAAATTAAAAATCTAAATACACGGTTAGATTTGGAATATCAAAGAGCCCCAATAATTCAATTTTAGATGAAATCAAACAAAGTTTAATTTTGGACCCTTTTGACCTCAATATGAACCAATTTGATAACGGGGTCCACAAATAAAAAATCTAAATACATGGTTAGATTCAGCATATCAAAGAACCCCATATATTCAATTTTTGTTGAAATCAAACAAAGTTTAATTTTGGACCCCAATTTGGACCAACTTGAAAACTGGGCCAAAAATCAAAAATCTAAATACATGTTTAGATTCAGCATATCAAAGAACCTCATATATTCAATTTTTGCTAAAATCAAACAAAGTTTAATTTTGGACCCTTTGGACCTTAATGTAGACTATTTTGAAAACTGGACCCAAAATTAAAAATCTAAATACACTGTTAGATTCGGCATAACAAATAAATAAATGTGATCAAAGATTTTACAAATCTAATGCGCCATACTGTGCAATTAAAGATTACTTCTTGAAATTTTTCAATATTTGAAATTTGAAAAAAAAAAAATATTTGAAGAATAATTCTTTTTAATTTCTGAAATCTGAAATGAGAAAAAATTGACCCCCACAATTTCTTTTTATCCCCCCCCCCCTTTTTTCCCCCAAAAAATTCTTTCCCTCAAGATATGGTCATAATCTCAATTTTTGTTAAAATCAAACTAAGTTTAATTTTGGACCAACTTGAAAACTGGGCCAAAAATCAAAAATCTAAAAACATGTTTAGATTCAGCATATCAAAGAACCCCATATATTCAATTTTTGTTGAAATCAAACAAAGTTTAAATACTGGACCCTATCTTGGACCAACTTGAAAACTGGGCCCATAATCAAAAATCTAAACACATGTTTAGATTCAGCATATCAAAGAACCCCAAGAATTCAATTTTTGTTAAAATCAAACTAAGTTTAATTTTGGACCCTTTGGACCTTAATGTAGACCAATTTAAAAAACAGGACCCAAAATTAAAAATCTAAATACACGGTTAGATTTGGAATATCAAAGAGCCCCAATAATTCAATTTTAGATGAAATCAAACAAAGTTTAATTTTGGACCCTTTTGACCTCAATATGAACCAATTTGATAACGGGGTCCACAAATAAAAAATCTAAATACATGGTTAGATTCAGCATATCAAAGAACCCCATATATTCAATTTTTGTTGAAATCAAACAAAGATTAATTTTGGACCCCAATTTGGACCAACTTGAAAACTGGGCCAAAAATCAAAAATCTAAATACATGTTTAGATTCAGCATATCAAAGAACCTCATATATTCAATTTTTGCTAAAATCAAACAAAGTTTAATTTTGGACCCTTTGGACCTTAATGTAGACTATTTTGAAAACTGGACCCAAAATTAAAAATCTAAATACACTGTTAGATTCGGCATAACAAATAAATAAATGTGATCAAAGATTTTACAAATCTAATGCGCCATACTGTGCAATTAAAGATTACTTCTTGAAATTTTTCAATATTTGAAATTTGAAAAAAAAAAAATATTTGAAGAATAATTCTTTTTAATTTCTGAAATCTGAAATGAGAAAAAATTGACCCCCCACAATTTCTTTTTATCCCCCCCCCCCTTTTTTCCCCCAAAAAATTCTTTCCCTCAAGATATGGTCATAATCTCAATTCAAATTTCCAATGGAGTTGGCAACCATAATTACCCATTTAATTTTACCATAGTGCTAACTTAATCTATTTTATAATAGAATTAAAAATATAGTGTCAAATCTTTCATATAGATTTTTTTGTAAAATAAAATGATGCAACATTTGCAGATATTTTTACTGGTCTTCCTTTATAAATATGCATTTCTTTAAACATAATTTAAAAGCAGTGTAAGGGAAGTAACCAAAACGTTGTATTTGGATGACCTCCCTTACACTGTTTTAAATTATCTTTATTGTTCATTAACCATTACTTTATACATAATTTAAAAGCAGTGTAAGGGAGATAATTTCAATGATGTATTTGATTTATCTCCCTTACACTCCTTTAAATTATGTTTTGTACTAAAGTATTTGTCCATTAACCAGGACAACCTTGTTTTTCCCCCTTTTTTGCCCCTAATTCCTAAACGGTTTGAGCCATAACCCCCCAATGCAAATCCTAACCATCCCTTTGTGGTATGGAAACTTGTAGTATAATTTCAGAGAGATCCATACACTGTTCCACAGTTATTGTCTGGAAACTAGAAAATGCTTATTTTTGGCCCCTTTTTGGCCCCTAATTCCTTAACTGTTGGTACCATAACCCCCAAAATCAATCCCAACCTTCCTTTTGTGTTATTTAACCTTATGGTAAAATTTCAAAAAGGTCCATTCACTTAAACTAAAGTTAGAGTGCGAAAACCAATGTGTATTCGGACGACGACGACGACGACGACGACGCCAACGTCATACCAATATACAACCACAAAAATTTTTTTGCGGTCGTATAAAAAAGCTGATGATCCGGTTAAAACAGCCATGTATCAATTCAATTCAATGATTTATTAAAGTCTCATCTCTCAACAAGTACAATCGATATTTATACATTGTAATACAATACTGAATAAAATGAGAGCCATTCTATACAGAATTATAAGAGACTATTAAAATGCATAGATATAATACAGTAAACAATATGGAATAAAGTACTATTTACAATATATAAAATTTCTACGTCTTCTTAAAATCAAATAACAGGTTTAGGCACACACACATATCACATTTACATCTGAGAATAAAAACACTAACTTTTGGTTATCATCTAAAGTATTATAATTTTTATTAAAAGTTTCAGCAACATAATATAAATGGTTTCTAAAATCGTCATAAAGAGGAAATCTTTATAAAACATGTGCTTCGTCTTCAATATCGCTGCTGGATAAGTCGGCCTAAAACAAACTCAGCCTACCATTATTTATATAAAGAAATAAAGTGAACAAACTGGGTCTCTAAAAACACCGCAAAGGACCTCCTTTGTGCACAAAGAACCACAAAGGAGTTTCATAAGAGCACAAAGGACCTGAAATTCATTCCAAAACATAAAAATATTATAATTCATGAAGAAATGTAAAAAAAAACAAACAATTTCAATAAAAATTGCGATTTTAATAATGTACTGTTAGAGTCATATTTGCGATAGGGTTGATTAACATAATTGAACAAGCGGTTTTTAAGTCTTATCTCATAATAATTGGCAAAACACAGAAAGCTGTTACAAAGTTCATTGGATATTGAAATGAAATTAATTATTTTAACAAATAGTTTCTGAAATTTACTTTCTGCTATGTATGTGTTAACTAAATTCACACATAAATGGTTAATATATATAATTGACAAAATCATATATCATTTCGAAAATTTTAACATTCGCAATATCAAAATTTAGACTTTTCAAATAATTGAAAAGAAACACTTGCAATAGCAAGTAGATATTTTGCATATTAACTATTCAAATAATTATATGAAAAGAAATAAATACCTTATAAAGAATCATCTACGCTAAGTAGCTTGTTAATTAGATCTATCATATATTGAGATGATTGATAAAAAAATAAGAAGGAGTTCAGTTTCCTTAAAGCAATGCTGATGAAAATAAAATATTTAATTTAAAATTTATAAATTGCTTTCAAATTAAACATAATTTTAAACAAACTTTAAAAAAGTATACCTGTTGAAGTCTAGATAGACTTGACACGTAGTTGTATTGAGAGTGATTCATGTTGAATTTGTATAGCTTTGAGTGTTTCAGTGAAGAACTCTCTTATTTTATATTATTTTATTTCTGATAAGATTTTGAGTAAAACGGTTTATATTTCTCATTTTTTTAACTTCAATAGACGATGTCTTTGATCGCCGCTTGTAAGATCTATATTTAGAAAACTTGTATATTTTGCATATGTCTGAAGTCTTTTTTGTGTGTTTTTTTTAATAAATTAATACATATAATTGTTTTTTCAACAATGTTATTGTTTTTAAAGACGGTCTTTGAACACTGATAATTAACTGTAAAGAATATATAACGCTTTGTTCATCCCAAGCGCAATCAAGTACTCATTATACATAACTTATTAATTGTGTGAAATTGAAATCTTTACAAACAGTGTTAGCTTAATTTTTTCTCTCCGGTTTAATGTCCAGTCTTTATTTATATGTTCATGTTTTCTCAATACTTTTCAATATATAGTTATAGGTATACTAACATCTTATCGAAAATGGCCGTAATCTTATACATATCCGTACCGGTTACTGAACATGGTTTCGTAAATCTTCAACTTTATACCGATTTAACTCAAGTATTTTAATAAAAAACAATATTTTTTTCATGAGAAATGCCTTTCAGGTCCTTTGTGCACTTATCATACTCCTTTGTGGTCCTTTGTGCTCCTTTGTGCACAAAGGAGGTCCTTTGTGGGTTTTTAGAGACCGGAACAAACTTGACCTATGATTTGTAGATTGTGTTGTTTACTGTTTTTTCTGCTCTTTTTTTCTAAACTTTACATAATTTATAACAACTTTATACAAGAATTTATGAGATACATGTAATGATAAATATTTTTGAAAAAAAAATATATGAAATGTATTAAATTAAACATAAGATAAAAAAATATGTGTTTATATCAAATACAGTTTAATTGAAAAATAAGTTTGAATTTCCCTTTTGTACTTTTATCTAGATAGTGTTTTTTTTTATTGGTAAATGGTGTTTTTATGATTGGCGTGTGTGTATGTTTGTACTGTGTTTAATCTTAAGTGTTCATAATTGGTATACAAACAAAGAGAAACTAGATTGGCAGTGAAAGGCTAGTCAACATATAACCATGGAAGTAAAATGAAAAGTCAATATAATACTTCCATGGTATATATAACTAACATATAACTGATGTTTTCAACAGAAAGTAATTGTACTAACTTATAAGATGAAGGTCTAGACCAATAATATTTCTTGATAAATTTCTTACGTATATCAATATAATTTTACATTGTAAAATAAAATGAAATTCATCCTCGACTACATTTAGATCACACATAATACACATTCTAGTATCTACTATTTTCATAAACACATCCAGTTTCAATACATAGATTGTGTGAGGACAGACGAATTTTCGTTATCCATTTACGAGACATTAGAGGAATAAATTTTCGTAAATAAAATTGTAATTCTACATTTGACACAATCTACTTATATATTCTACACTTTGATGGGGTTTCAAGCATAAAATGTAACTCTTGCTTAGCTTTTATAGCCGTTGTTTGGTTAATTGTAAAAATGAACTATCCAAACAAAGTACCCATTAATTGTCCCAATAATCATTCATACCAAGATCATAATTAACAGTGTTATAATACAAGTCACCCAGTTTTCCTATTTATTACTATTTGCTACTAATTCGATTCTATGTACTGTGAATTAAGTCACTAGGTGTTTGGTTAATTACGATTTCATGTAATTAGAGGTAGTTATGTTCTCATTAAGGTGATTAAAAAGGTGTCAACAGTACACGTGGCAGTTATTAGTTTAAATTAAGGTAATTAAAGATGTCACCAATACATGTGGCAGTATGATGTCATATTCCCAGTTCTACCAAATAAGTCATGGCGATGATGAATATGATAAATGATTTTAAAAAGAATATGAAAATAAGAGAAAAGAAAGCCAAATATGTGGTAACTTTTCATTGTCAACTGAAATTAGTCTTACTTTTCTTTTTATATCTAGTTAACGTAACTTATATTTCATGCTTGTAAAATGTTCAAAATAAATCATTCAATTAGTCTAACTCATAATTAATTTTAAATAAAGTACTGCTAATTAATTTCAAATAAAGAAATTAATATCCATTATTATACTTATATTCTTCTAGTAGCCCCAGTTTGTTATAGTCCGAGTTTGCTATAGTCCGATTTTGTGAGGCCGATTGTGTTATAGGCCGAGTTTGTTATAGTCTTGAGTTTGTTATGGGCTGAGATATCAGGGAGTCTTCAATATGAAGTAACTGTTCTGGAGAAATCAAAAACCACTTTGATTGATTTTTATAATTAAGTTATCTGAATTCATTGTATATCTCAAATTGCATCTTAAAATAAGGATTAAATTAAACACAAATTTTATGAAAAAAAACCATTTAGCACATCAGCACTATTTCATACAATGCTTTCAATGTCTATAATTAAAATATTCTGGTCTCTTTTTTGACACAATACTTGTTGAGGAGAACAGTAATATAATCATGTCTGTTTGTATGTAACATTTCTTTCATCAAAGGAATTATGAGAGTACAGTCAGTCTGTTAAAATAATTTCTTGTCTCGAGAATACATCGCTCTAATGACTTAATTCCATCTGAAACAGTTTAGTCTCTAGTTGGAGAAACAGGCAAGGGACTTGTAATTAATTTTTAGTTCGAGGATAAGACATTGAGAGGGAACAGTTAGGGTACTATATTTACTTACAAACATAACTATCCAATGATTTGAAATAATCATATATGTTGTGGTCACTATTTCATAATAGTGTAGAACATGAGACAGGGAGTGTAGTTAGGAAATAAAAGGGGAATTAAAAGCCTTGAAGGAGGAGGGGGGTTGTCCAGTTAAAATAGTATCTCACCTCAAGAATAAATCTTTCTAATGATTTCACATCTTCCACTACAGTTGGGTCTCTACTGATGGCTACAGCTTCTTTCAGGGGGTACTGTAAAGGAAAAAAAAGGAATACATATGGAAGATATAATTTTATCAATTTCCTTGTAGCATTAAAAGCTTTGTGATCTTCATGCTGAAAAAAAACTTAATCATGTTTTTAAATCTTTCTAAAAGACTAATGGTGGTTCTCTCCAGGCACTGTGCCTTCCTCCTTCCAATTAAAACAGGCTGCCATGATATAGCCAAGAGTGCTGAAAGTGGCATTAATACACTGACATTCAATCAATCAATCTTATTTACACTATTTTCTAACTTGATTGATAAAAAGATCTTAATGATATCAAATGTATTAGCGACTTTTTAAATTGGAGATATTTTTCTCTTGCAAAGTTTATATATATCAAAAGTAATTATTTTCCAGTATTCTATTTGACATAATGCTAAAATAACAGAAGTTGTAAGAATATTCATGTCACTGTTCAATTAACCATGTATAATGTATTACTGCATGCATTTAAACATTTAAACATACCTTAATAGGTAAAGTTTTCCTTTCCCTTACAATTCTACCAAGTTCTATAACTGACTGCATGGTGGAAACAGCTCTCTCAATCTTTGCATCAATTAAAGCTTCCCTAAAAAAATTAGCATGTCATGGCTTAACATTTTAACTGTCTAACTTAAACAGAAATATGTAAGTTATTTCTCTTGTAAAACAACTATTTTATAATAATTTATAAATGTATATGAAAATTTGTTCTGTCCCTTTTATAAATTTGTATTTTTCAAAGAGAACAAGACAGAGAT